CACGCGCTTAGAATTAAAGCGAAAACTTTTACAGAAGAAAATTGAGAACTTAAATAATATATTTTTGTGCCCCCACTTTAGGGGTGGGGCATTTACATTTACCCTTGTCTGTGCGTCCGTCCTTCCTTCCGTCCATCGTTCCGTCCGTCCGTTCTCTTTTGTGTCGCACGTTGCAAAAAGTATTTGACCTAGAGTCATGAAACTGTACAGAAATGTACTTCAGCATGTGTAGTTGTGCACCTGGGTATTTTAGTGTGGATATATTTAGTATTTTTAGAGTTATTGCCCTTGACTTGGTAAAAATTTGCAATTTTCAACTTGTGTCGCATGTAACTCAAAAAGGAATGAAACTTTACAGGAATGTTGATCAGCATGTGTAGTTGTGCACTTCGGTCTTTTCGTGTTGATTTATTTAGTATTTTTAGAGTGATTGCCCTTGACTTATTAAAATTTTGCAATTTTCAAATTGTGTCGCATGTAACTCAAAAAGGATTTGACAACCTTACGTGAATGTTGCTCAGCATATGTAGTTGTGCACCTTGGGTTTCGCTTGTGGAATTATCCAGTATTTGTAGAGTTATTGCCCTTGACTTCGTAAAACCGTTTCATTATGTTGTTATTTGTTCCTGGAGTGCTTGAGTTAGAATAATCAACTTTTCAGGAATAATGATCAACAATATCATCAAATCATTTTTTTGTTAACCCTCACTTCATATAGACGTGTTTTGACGGCTTTTCGCCCCCCACCTTTTGAGGAATTACCCTATTAAGGCCCCAAACACGTTTGGGAAATGTTGCTAAAATTTCGGCGCCGCCCCTATGAAAAAGGTACATCTCGCCAAGAAAATTTTGGACTTGTGAGAGGCTAAAAATTACCCCAGGTCGATCACAAAGTAATGTGTAACAAACGCTGAAAGCCTTTGACTCTATCTCAATCCATTTAGAAGTTGCAGCACTTGAAGTTGTAGCAGTTTGAACCATAGGAACTCGAGAACAGGACCGCAGATTGCGGCGCATATTTTCGATCGTGTAACGGTTTTTGAAAACGTTTCTGCTACATCTAATATCTTTTAGTATTATCCGAGTATATGACCTCAAAAAATATATTATCAATTGAATCCAATCTTTCCTTTTAAAACTGTTGACCAGCTTTAATGGTATTATAAAAAAAAATATCGTAAATTTGACTTGATTTTTAAATTAGCAGATTATATTAAATTGAGATTAGATAATTAAAGACCACCTGCTCTCATAATATGAAAAGATATTCAAAGGTCGGACAAACAATATGTAAAACCGGTACGGATTCGGATTTATGCGCCACAATATGCGGTCCTGTTCCAGAGTTCCTATGGTTTGAACTTGTAACAGGAGGCTATTCAATGAAAACCGCCATTTTTCACAATATGCTCATGAGGGAAAGGGTTAAATTGCTTCACAAAAAGGGTACTGGCACAATAAAAAACCTTTTAAATGTTCATACGTGTTCATATGTAATAGTTATAGAATATATACACGAGGATTTTACCGGATGGTATCAGTGCATGGGGCAACAACAAGGGTCAATCAGAGGAATTTAATCGAGACGGAACGTCAAGATTAATTTCAACGATTGACCCTTTTGTCGCTCCATGCGCTTGATAATTGCTTGTTACTGCCTCTTGTGCAACAATTACTACTAAAAAAAACAAGGGTGTGGTCAGTCATTGTAATAGAACACGTTTTCATCATTGACACTGACATTTAGTGTTGGAATGAATGAAAGTTGACGAGGCATTACACGGGTGTGGTCAGTTTTACTGACTTCCGGGTGTCTGTGATCGTATCGATTTTTTTCGTAATACTCGGTTCTTAAATATTCGGGATTAAACGTCAAACAACGGCATGAAACGCTAAGAACGGGAAATAATGTTTAGGAATAAATTCAATGTACATTTTAATGAAAGCAAAATGAAATCAATTGCTTTAAACAAACATGGATTCTGTGAACCAGAGACCTACAATGTTATAAATATAAACTCAATATGAACAGAAACGTCAATAGCATAGTTTATATTGTATAGGATTTTTATTAAAAATGCAAAAAAAATATCTTGAAATTAAGACAGCCCTACTTGTGGATTCAATAGTACTCATTTATCCATATAAAATCATATTTCCAGTGTTTTAAATTACCGTTAATGAAAATTGTGCATATACAAAATGTTAACCTATCAAGTTACAGAAAGAAATGTGTTGATCTTTAAAATTTCTTTTGTTTCCTCAAATCACTGACAGAAAATATGAAATATTAATAAAGAAACCGATTTATTTATTTCACTGTCAGAAACTCAAATTCATTTTCTCCAGCGTCTGTATGTTAAAGCTCAAAATCATCCGAATCAGACATAACATGGTTCCATTATGTTCCATATAATTAATTGGATAAGTGTCTCTTGTTTTTACATTACATCAAAGTTTTGATTACATTTTCATCATGTTTGATTAAAAAGTTATTGTCAAATTTCTATATTCATTATTGCCATAATTTTTCGTCAAATGTATCACAAATGAAAACGTCCTTCGGTACTGTCAGTTCTTTTACCAGAGCCATAACCTCCATAAACACCACGGTTTGCAGCTGCCTTTGCAATATTTTCTCCGACCTGAATTCTTGCTCCATATCCGTAATCAGATGTTTTACGTTTGAAAATATCACTTCCAACACCTTCAACATAATCTGTGTTTCTTTTACCAGGACCATAAATGCCATAGAGATCACGAGTTGCAGCTGCCTTTGCGATATTTTCCCCGGCATCTATTCTTGCTCCGTATCCATAATCAGTTGTTTCACGTTTTGACATTTCTTTTTCAGTACTTTCACCTAGTTTTACAAATCCATTGTTTCGTTTTCCAGGTCCTTGAATTCCAAACAGTTCGCCTTGCGAAAGATATTTCGCCGCATTTTCAGTCGCCTGTGACCTTGATCCGTAACCAAAATCTGTTGTGATTCGCTTTGTAATTCCAAAATCATTTAACTGTTGCGCATGGTTTCTTTTTCCTGGACCATGTAAGCCAAATAATCCGGACTTGTCCCAGATTTGAGCAATGTTTTCTCCAGCACGAAGCCTGGAACCATAACCGAAATCAGTGTTTATTGGATAACCTTCTAAAAGTGAAACAGCCCGTTTGCCAGGTCCGTATTGCCCAAAAACCGATTTAAAAATGTCCAAATCATTAACCACGTCTTTTCCAGCCTGTATTCTCGATCCATATCCGTAGTCAGTATTGATTGAACGTTCATACCTTGGTAAAAACGTTCCAAATTCTTGACCGCGGGAATTTTCTAAAACAGCAAACGACAAAAGCAAGTATAACGAGAAACTGTACAACCCCATCTTTGGTTTCTGAACAACTGATGCCGTTTCAGTAAAAGAAGTAGATCTATATATACAAACTGCTTTTACAAAGGTGTAAGAGAATAAAAAAGACATACCGTAGGCCTGGCATAATGACTTTATTCGTTAATTGATATGTCTGTTTGGTGTAATTACCAATTCTAAGACTTAATAAAAACAAACGCGCTTTGTTACAGACAATTCTCAAAATATCAGCCGTATTAGAACCATAGAAACTGGCATCGTCCTTTTATAACTTAAACGCTCGGATACAGCTCCCGAAGACTTTCAGCAGTAATAATAAGATTCTGATCAATAATCAGTAATGAAAACGACTAGATTCGACTTGCATGTATTTTTATGCTGATAATAGGCATGTGAAAGTACAAATTACGAGGGCGCATGTTTAACATGTTATAGCTGTTATATAATAACAATGTACAAGAACCATGTTCAGACGTTTTTTACAAGCAAATTGGCTATATCCTTATATCTTTATTGTTTGTTTGATTCGGTTCTACGTCACCCCGCAAAGTATAGGTCATGTGGCGACGTTCCAGCTTTACTGGTGGAGAGAGACCTAAGTTGCCCTTCTATGCATTATCTCAGGCACGAACGGGCACCTGAGTAGAACGTTCCGTTATAGCTGGATAGCTTCCTCACATGAAAGAATCCAAAGTCGCCATCGGGATTCGAAACCACAACGGTGAGGGGCAAGTGGTTTGAAGTCTGGAAGTCAATCACCTTAACCACTCGGCCACGCACGACCCTTTTTGATGTTGCAAGCCGCTTTAGTAACAATTTAAATTCTAAAAATGGGATGAATTTGAGTGAAGATAACTTTGATTTATTGTTGCGCAGTAAAAATAGTTATGTTATCTATTTGATTATGTAATCACACTTGCCGCTAACATCACTTTTAGTGCTTTGATTTTATGTGTGTTATCATTCGGTATTTACACCGCTGAACATATTTTGGCTAAAGAACGCCCAACTAATTATAGAATATAAAATATTTTACAAAGATAGAATAAGTCACTGAGAAGGCTCTAGTTGAGACAGCAAGAAACAACGCTCGGAGTCGGTCTATTCACTGGCCATACTACTTCTGTGTTTACTGTATCTTTTCTGTCAAGAAGAAATTGTCAAATAATGTAAATGTAGCAGTCTTTAAACAATTATAAATGTGCAAATGTGTATAATATTCCTATTATATTTGCATATGTGCATGCTTTTAGACTTTGTGCAGCGAACTTTGAGTGTTCTTGCATATGTTGTCACTTTTTGTTATCATAATTATCATTACAGGTTACATTAGTAGTCATTATCACTATCATACATTTGCATACAAAATAACAAAATTTTCATGAATGGCATAAATTATATCGTTTATTTCCAGTTCACAATATGTTTACTTGAAATATAATATAGAGATGATTAATCCGCCCCCGACCTTAACATATATCAATTAAACGCATCTTAAACTTTAAATATAAAATGTAACCGTGAAATGTATTTTGTATTTATGCTGATTTTATATACATTTCGTTCAATTAAATAACGCGTCGCTAGCTTAACTGCGTGTGATGAAATGTGCGAAGGTGGTTATAATATATACTTACTCTAGGCAATGCAATATGTAGCTTATTGGGGTCTATTCAACTATGAAATATACAACTTTTATCCATTTTACGTTTTTTTGTGGTGTGTAAATCTCTAAAAACAAGCGACGATGAAATTGTCCCGGATATAAATGATACACGAAAATCACGATGAATGCAGGTTTGTTTACTTGTTCTTGTATTCATTTTTATATCCAAAAGTAAGAATACATAATTCAAAGGGTGTAATAGTGTTTTGTTTAATAAGAATAACTTATACATGTATATGCTATATTGATAACTATACTTATATAGAAGGATGGTTCGTACAACAGTCAATACTTCGTTAACCTAACTAAAATTTAATCATACACGATTTCAAAGTAATATGAGCCGCGTCACGACAAAACCAACATAGTGCGTTTGCGACCAGCATGAATCCAGACCAGCCTGCGCATCCACGCAGTCTGATCATGATCCATGCTGTTCGCTGTAAGTTTCACTACTTGTAATAGAGTTGGTAAGCGAACTGCATGGATCCTGATCAGACTGCGCGGTTGGTTTTGTCGTGACGCGGCTCAATTATATCTCGGGAGAAATCCTTTATTTTTGTCTTATTTGATAGAGTATGTTATGCATTCAGCATGTTCATTGAAATATATGTTTTTATATCAATTACATATACCAGTTGCCTACGAACTGTTAGTGATTTGTTTGAATCTCGGGTGGGTACTAAAGTGATTTGTTTGAATCTCGGGTGGGTACTAAAATAAGCAGATACAAATAAACTGAATCATATTAAAGAACGCCTAAAACGACAAAATTAAAAATGATCTGAATTTAGAAATATAAACATTGTCTTCATGTAAAATGTAATACATGATATAAATCATCGTGCACATTGACGAAATTCGCGATAACTAATTATAAAATTGCTTTCATTACTTCATACCTTCAGTTGACAAGAACTGGTCATGGATCGTTCTGTTTGGAGCGTTTCTTGCAAACCTCCTGGCTGGGGGTATTATATTTAGTTTTGGAATATTGTACACTGACTTTATCGACCGCCTGGAAACAGATGCTTTACCAACGGCTGTCATTGGTGGACTTGCATTCGCATGCAGTTGTTTTGTAGGTATGTATGTTATAGTTTCCACATTGAAACAATGTAATTCCATAATACAGGCAGTAATAAATAGGTGAAAATGATCTTATAATCATAATGATAATTATGTTATGAATAATGTTAATGATTACTTGTTACATTGTATAATCTTATACATACATTCCCTTTCATTACAAATGAAAGGGACTTCACTGAGTTTTTTTGACATGTCACTACTGGAAATATTTTTTCCGAGACTTGTGTAACTTTCAATGAAGGTCTAGACTAGTAACTTATGTGATCATTTTCAGGTCCTTCCCTCACTACATTTTCGCAGAATTATCATCTTTATTGTTCAAAATGACCCCAAAATGCGTTGCAACGCTTTTCACTAAAATCCGGCTAATTTTAAGACTCGCACGAAAATCGAATTTTAATTTAATTCTGAGTATTTTTCTTTTGCTAAGTTTTCCATTTTAAGTTTTTAACTTTGTATTTGTAAAATTTTCATATTTTATGTTTTTAGGCCGTTGGACCTCAGTGTATGTTAATGTATAATGAATCATATGATGAATAAATGACTTCTCGTTATAACTCAATATCAAACTATAGTCTGTATGTAATTTTTTTAAAACCTACACGTTGTCTCTAAACTTAACTTTATATCGAAAGTGTAATATTTTCGTTAAAATAACGTTGGATGAAGAATTACTACGCTTCAGTTAACTCTCTACCTGTCAATATATACGTATAGATTGTTCAAGTCTGATTAATCATGAAAGGTAAAAAAAATATTACATGACATATTTACCATGGCATATTTGTATTCAATTAAACTATTTCACGTTCACCTCAACTGATACAATGAATATACATATAGTCATATCTATTTTTCAGCACCATTTTCACGAACAATGACCTTGAAGCTAGGTTACAGATTCGTTACGGTGCTGGGTGCTGTTATAGCGTTTCTTGGTCTGTTGCTGTGCTGTTTTGCACCTTCTATACACTATTATTACGTGTTCTTTGGTGTCCTGTGTGGTGAGTATCTTTTTAAAATGATAAAAATCATCAAAAGACCGGC